ATATATATATATATATTTTCCGTGTGTGTGATATTTTATAATTTGCGTGTTTATTTTATTAAAATTTTAATGTTTAAACTCCTACGACATAAGATCTATGAAATGGCTAGAAAATGAAAGTTTCACCACTTATAAATATAATAATAATAGTAACATCTTTATGAAATCTAAATGATAATATTCTAACTAAAAATTACTTATAGCTTCACATATTTAATATAATATGACTGTACATTGTGTTGAACTCAAATTTATCTATAAATCACACCTAAATTAGGAGTGCATTTGAGGGAGTCTAAAACATATTTGTGTTTAGCTCAAGTTCAAAACAGCTCGCAAAAGCCATTGATTCAAATTGATTTAGTCAAATTAAACTATGAATTACACCAATACTATGTAAAATGAATTACCTATATTTCACATTATAATTTCTTCCTACTATATGCATAGGAACACTAACATGTAAAATGAAAAGAAATACAAAAATACATTATTGATATTATATTCTTAAGGCTCCTAAGTATTTCTCTCTCCCACACATACACTCTCTGACTCTTTATTTACATTCTAAATCTTAGGTTAGGCCTGTCAGAAAAGCTTATTGTTTAAGAACTACACATGTTCCGCTTACTAAGTAGCATTACTAAGTAGCTCGTAATTGATTTGCTCACCAAGCATAAGAACCAAACACTAATAATTTTTTTTGATAAGCTCGATTTATAAATGAGTTGAACACGAACATGTCTAAGAATCAATCCCGACAAACACAAAGAACTACCAATCGCATGGAGCTGACCTGACCGAACTAAAAAGGACAACCGAATAAAAAGATAAACACTAGCTCACCAAGGAAATAATACTACATAAAAATATAATATCTTTAAAATAAAAAAGAAAGTCAAACTACATTTTAATATAATACTAAGGATAATACCGGCACTTTGACATGCAAACATATATAGAAAATTAAATATAAAAAAAATAATTAAAATAACAATCATTTTTAATTTACAAAAACATTTTAAATTGAAGCCTATGAAGTTCTTAAGAAAAACAAAAAAGAATAATTTTGACTTTTCAATCGGTCTAATGCATGTGCTGATTTGAATTGCAGAAAAACAGTGAAAAAGATTCTTCTTGATAGCATTTATAGATTGGGATTAGCAACATGATGTAGAAATTAATGCATAATTAACAATCCATGGCAGCTATCTGTAAATATAAACCAAAATTTGGAAGTGTAAACATTGACTCTTAGTACACTTTAATTTTGTTTATTCTATAATTGAGTGTGACTTTGAGTGATCAGATTATTAAAAGGTGTGAACGATTTAGATATCTTGGGTCCATTGTTCAAAGCGATGGTGATATAGATGCAGAGTTTAATAGTAGAATTCAAGCTGGTTGGTTGGAGTGGAGGAATGCTTCCGGACTTTTTGTGTGATAGAAAAGTACCGCTTAGACTAAAAGGAAAATTTTGTAAGACGGTGGTGAGACCTGCAATGCTCTATGGCGCTGAATGTTGGCCTTTAAAAGAGAAGCATAATCATAAGTTAAGTGTTGTCGAGATGAGAATGATTGGGTGGATGAGTGGCTTTAGACTTAGAGACAAAATGTGAAATGAATATAACCGCGATAGGGTTGGTGTAGCTCATGTGACGGATAAAATTAGAGAAAGTAGTCTTAGATGGTTTGGTCACATTAAACGTCGACCATCTGATGATCCGATTAGGAGATTAGATGTTTTAGATTCGACTTGTGTTAAGAAAGACAGAGGTGGACCTAGGAAGACTTGGGCTTATTGTATACAAAATAATCTTAATTTACTAGAACTAAATGAAAATATGACAATAAATAGGATACAATAGAGAAAAATGATTTGTTGTATAATTAAGTGCATAAGGTCGATTTAGGGTCTGTTTGGGACAGCTGCAACTTATTAAATAATCTGCTGATAAGCTGATTAAAATGCCACCACACTAAATAATTTTTACAAGATATGGAACATTAAATAAGCTGCTCCAAACGGTCCATAAATGATAAACATAAGCTGCCAAAATGCAGTTTATCCAAACAGTCCAGATGCATTTTCAAAATGTCACCGCACTAAATAAGCTGCCCCAAACAGACCCTTAATGCGCTTAACTTTTGCCCAACTTTTCTTCTGTACTATTCGCCGATTCTTGGTGGGATCGTTGCCCCCGACACTCTTAGGTTGTCAGTAGTTCTAGCACGATTAGAGTGACCAGTCTGTGGACTGATGATGATTCTGCTTTCATTAAAAAAATAAAAATAAAAATAATTCAAATCGTGTGAAATATCAATATTTATAAATTAAAAAATCTGATTTTTATTTACACACGCCACTTTCAAAACTATTTAATATTTGATAAAAATGAAAAATATGGGTCGGGCTTTTGTCTTGAATTTTGATATTTCATCGAGACATTGAAAAGTGGACGAAAAAGAATGATAGATTTGTAAATAACAAGTTTCGGATGGACTTAAAAAAGAAAATTATGAATAAGCTTTTATTTGAACAACTTTAATATATATA